AGAAATAGTAAAGAATACAACTGAAGATTTTCGTTTAATATATTCGTCTTAACAATAATATATGATGAAAAAAAAAAATAAAAAATCTCTTATTTTAACATTTCTCAAACATTATGTAATTAGAGAAAAAATAATTAGCAATAACCTCTTTAAACTAGTATATATCAATATATTGTTAAATAACTTCCTAAAGAAAATTAATTCTATCTATAGTAGAACATTGTCGAGTCAAATTCATTCACTTGGAAAAATCCCGAGGTATTTTTCGTTATTTAGTAACATATAAATCATTATAACACTTCATATTATCAATAGATTATCGATTCAACTAACCGATAATATGATGAGTTCATATTAAGAGAAAATTTCATTTCCTTGTCTTACTTGACAAATTGTCATAAAAGACAAAAACAAAGTTACTGAAAATGTTTTAATAATAAAAGAATTTAAACAATTGATGAAAGAGGACAATAAATCAATAAAATTCGCGTAAAAGAAAAAAACACATATGCTTCACGTAAATGGAGACAGATCTTAGTATATTTTCTTTATTTGTTATTATGAATATCTCTGATATTGTTTTTTTTATCATGAGAAAATATTTAAGAAATTTAAACATCATATATTTTTATGTGATACTTAACATATAGATACTTGAGTTGTTGTTATGTAAAGTTTAAAGAACTTGACTCTGTTATTGATGGAACTTCGACGATGACTCAAACAAAAACAAATTTTTGATTTCGATTACGACTTCAAATTTCGGCACAATCGGAATTGCATGGAAGATTCTAACTCATCTTCATATGAAAACATCATTATATGAATATATTTTTCATACGCGTATTTATCTTTGAAATGTCAAAGATAGTTAAACTAAGTCAATTTTTCCATTGGTTTTATTTATTTGATTTCAGTAGAAAGATTTTCTTAACTTGAATAGATCTTCTAATGTGTCAAATTTCGTTTAGTTTCATATTAAACAGATAATTAACTTATTAGAATCTTTATCGAGGTGATTGATATAATTAACGATATTAACCAGATATGATTACTTTTCAACTTTTCAATATCGAAATATATTGAAGAGCAACTAAACGATTCAATTGGAGATAGTCTCTACTACTACTCTTCAGATGTCGTGTATCATCTCTATTAATCGATCAAATATTATTTAAAACTAAACTTCTAGATAATAATACAGAAATATTTCTGTATCAATATGAGAGAGAATTGAGAAAAAAAACTATTTTGGATAGTCTCAAATATAAAATTGTAATTTACCACCATCACGCCAAAAACCAGATCCAAAGTCAAGGCGTGTAACATATCGAAAATGAATATCAGTCAATTGATGATCTATTATATTCATTGTTGACTGTAAAAATACTGAATATTCATTGGAACTAACATGTTTATGATGTCCTAGAAAAAAAAAGAGAAAATAAATGAAGATTTTAAAAGAGATTTTCTTTCGAAAAATAATCCAATATAAACAAATCTCTTTTCTGTCTTTTAACATAATGAAACGCTTACCTATATTAAATTGAATGGATCTAATATGAGGATAGATTTTATCAAATTGACTAAGAAATGAATAAATTGATGGACATAAATCAATTTTCAAATATTTAATATCTTCCCAATCAAAAATCATTCGATAATCTCTTATAAATGATAATTATAATAATAATAAAACATATATATCTACTATAAAAAAAATCAAAAACTATCTTACATAATACCATGAAATAATTTAGGTTTGATTATTCGATTTGATGATATATGTTGACATAAGGAAACTCTATCAAAATAACATTGAATATTTGTCCAATGACGATCAATAAAAATTCGATCACTTTTAAATGAATCAATTATTTTTTCAAGCTCAGTTTCCAATAATAATTTGCATTTCGATACAATATAAAAATCGAAATCAAGCAAATTAATTAATATATCAGGCATTATATTTTTACGAAGATAATTTATATCAATAATATTATTTTCATTCGTTTCATTTTTTATAACTAAACCAATTTTCAACTTTTCAACGTGATATACATTATTAATTATCCACTTTAAATAATTTAATTCACAATCATTCAATATAATACTTTTTAAACTAAAAGATTTTAATTTTGGCATCTAAAATAAATTATTACTCAGAAATTAAAAATTTTTCTTTCTTTTTATTCATAGGAATTATTTCAGTTTCCAATGTTTCATCAGAATAAAAATACGTAGAAATTCATAGAGAATCATGGACGATTACGAGAGATTCCATTCAGAAAACGATTTCTACTATCAATTGGCTATGTCTTTCTTATTTGAACATTGAAAAATGTATTACTGATAAGTCTATATTTGAACTGAGATTTATCTCAATCAATAAATGTCAATTATTTATTTGTATCGATTCGTGTCAAATATGAGTAAGATCTATATTGATATAATTATTATTTTTCTAGTAAATATTCATCAAGAATAATACGATTTAAGTACTTGAGTTATTGTCAATATTCATGAGGATGTAGCTCAACAATTAAATATTTAAAAGATTAATGATCTATTTCACAAATCAAAATTTAGTTTAACTTTTATAAATCAATTTATATAGAACATATTATCTTTTCTTTTTTCTTCGATTTTATCATTGTCTAGAGTAATCATCAAATATGAGTAACATTGAATAAAAATAACTTTTCATCTAATCATCGTACATAGAAGTCCATCAAAATTCTATAGAATAAATTCACTTTCCTTTCTTCTTCGACAAAAAACCTCAGCATGCGCCTCTAGATAATCTACAAACAGAAATCTTTTTGTAAATTTCAAAACACAGGAAGAGTAGTAGTAATGAACAAGATAATTTCTATATTTATTTATTTAAATCTAGTTAACAAAATGAATATTCTCGTTATAATAGAACAAACAAAGTGCTCTGAATTAAAGTAAATAAACAAATGAATTTTTAATTCTATATAGATTCATCGCTCACTTTCAAGAAAATTCTATAAAGATATTAGATACTATTTCTTGTTTTCAATTAGTAACAACCAGAAACGTTTGATGTAGCTACAACAGTGCACCGGAGGTTTTCACTCTGTGATAATAATAGTCTAAGTTTCATACAAATAAATTCTATTTTTTTTTTCAATGATTACCCATGGAAATAATTTCGTTACTTTTAAATGATGCGAAACGCGTTAATGCTGGCCGGTTTCACGCGTTTCGCAGCTGCTAATTCGGTCAAAAAAGCCGCGAAACGATATACTTTCCGTTTTCATCCGGGGATTGTGGCTCCAAAACGCGTTTTGAGTATGTGGAAAAAAGAGTTATATACGTTTCTCACCATGGGAAACGCTGGAAGCGCGTTAAATCGGCCAGCATTAACGCGTTTCGCAGTGAATATATCCTTATTTTTTACCCCATGGGTAACTTCTAAAGAGATACTTTATACCAATAATCATTATTAAATATGATTATTCACCTTGATTTATCTATTTTAACTAAAAAATTATTCGAGTTAACTTTTACTTATCTGAATTTTAAAATCTCTAAAACTGTTTAGAGAAAACAAAACGAATAGTCATATTTAAATCGAACTAATATAAAATCCATTTGAGATAAAATATAGAAAGAATCTTTTCATGTTAATACGATGACAATAGTTCATTTGACGTTATATTATTTTAAAAGTCTATTCATTCTTTTTATTCAAGATTGAATAGATTTCTTTTCTGAATTGTTTTTTTTACCTTTTCATACCAATTGGAATTAATTGGTATAAATCGTTTCATCTTCGGCTCATATAACTGTTTTTGCATTAACGAATCTTTGAATGTAACTGAAAGAGTTTGAAGAGCAGGTACATATTTAATAATGTCTTCAAGAAAATAACCATAAATTAAATGAATATGTAAATGACGAAGAGTGATACAATGAATAATAACTGGATTGTTTATTGAAAGACATTCATAAATACCATTATAATTATGATCATCTGGTATATCAAGTTCAAGAGATGTTAACTGACATTTATCAGAAAACAATTTACGTAGAAATTCTTTGAACATAAGCATCAATTTCGAGTCTATTTTAAAATATATAAAAACTTATATGTCTCTTTATTATTAATACAGAAATATATATTATTTTATATTGAATATAACTTTAATTTAAAAATATAAATAAAAAGGAGAAATTTAAATTGTTACCTTCATTATGACGAATTATTCGAGATCTTCTTTCATAATCAATCAATTCAAATATATCTGTATCAAACGCAAAAATGAATACATCCAATTGATATTGAATAAGAAATGATAAATTTTCAATCAATTTTATCGTCAAATAACATTGTTTAAGAATAATCTTCTTTAAATTAACGAAACGAAGAATTTTTGAATGATCGAAAGAGAAACATTTTTCACTAATAACAATTCCATAATTAGTCATTGAAAGTTTTACATAAATAAGATCATTAAAGCGTTTATTTAATGACCAAAATGATTCAATCATTTCGAACCATCTTATATACTTTAATATTAGAAGTAGAATTTCATTTGGCAGATTTTCTAATCTATTTAACATATTATCTAAAACAAAAAACAATATTTCCAATATGTAACTTACTAGACTTTCTTCATAATCATATATATGCAACTATTAAAATCTATTCGTCTTCGTTTATTTTATTTCATTGACAAATGTTTCACAAAAACAAACAAGTGCTTCTACACGATATGCGCATATCGTGTAGAAGCACCGTTTAATGTCATATTGGTTTTTATTATTGAAATGAGAAAATAAACGTTTTAAATATTCCTAAGACAATGGTAGAGAACTATTCGTTTAGGATAATTTACATTTGATTAATCGATAAAATAAA